CATTTCCTTGCGAGCGAAGCCGCAACAGGTACCCTTGTAAGTATCTGATAAGTAATTCTGTTTTTTTTTTTTTAAGTAGTCGGGTTCGTTTTACCCCGTTTTCTCTCCAGTTTTTCCTTTCTTTGGGAGTTGTGCATAATGGGACGCTGGACCCAGATTCCAGCCAAGCCGAAGCTCGGTAATGGCCCCCAGTACTCGGGGGTTGATATGTGGAGGGATTCCCGGCCTCCCTTTGTGTTTGGCAATACATATGCATAATTCCTGTCTAAAAAAAGGGGGGGGGGGAACAAAAGGAGTTCACCGAACCGGAAAAATCTCTTTGCTGTCCCTGTTGTCCTGCAGCACTGACGAAAAACAAACAAGTCTCGCCTTCTGCTGGACACCTCAACAACAGTACTGGACGATACACCGCATAATCTGAGGATTGAGGATTGTCAAGAGAATGTACAAGTACTACAAACCTGAACAAATGCATATTTGTTGAAGTACTGAACCAGCCACTCAATGAGGTTGAGAATGCATAGCAGACATGATGCAAGGAATGGGTTCATCTCTTCACCGTCCCTCCCTGCTGCCATCCTAACCTGCAAAGCAAACAAGAACAGTAATAAGACATGTAGAAAAAGTTGAAAAACATGTTAGGATTGTACCAATCGGATATACCCTCGTCCAGATATGACTTGAGATCAGGTCTGTTCATTTCGGTCTGTTCATTTCCTTCTGCTGCTCGTTATCACCTTCCTGGCAGGATGAGCTATGGTACTACAAGCTCCACCATTGCCTCACCATTGGAGAAATGATGAATGGAAGGCCCAAAATTTGGGGGGGTTCGGCGGATCACCACAAGCAATGTCATCGAAAATATGGCAGTTTCGGTGAAAATTTCACCGAAAATGACACCACCTATTAACCATACGCGTGACTCTTCAATGCAAGGCCGGATCAATCATCAGCATTCAGAAGTCAAAGAATCATCAACATGGCCGAGCCAGGTAGAATTGTGAAGACCCTGGCCTCCATTATATGGTTTGAAATTTGGGGGGGGGGGGGGGGAAAAAAAAAAGACGGCGGAGAGAGAGAAAATGTTGCACAGTGGCAGCCGCAACTCAGTCACGGACTGACCTGACCGTGCAGCAGAATCACAACGCTCAGACTTGGCGGGCATGGATCCAAACATAGAATAAACCTCCCCGCTCCCATTCACAAACGAGGACGAGATTGTATAATGAGGAAGGAGGAACAAGAAGAAGAAGAGCCAATGTGCAGCAGTGTCAAATAATCATTTCTTCTTCCACCTCAATGTCTTTTCCTCCAGCGGTGCCAAATTATCATCTTTCCTGAACCTCAATGTCATTTCATTCAGCTCGCCTCCAATCATTAGGTAGATATGCTCCTGACACATCAATGCTCTCTCTCTCTCTCTCTCTCTCTCTCTCTCTCTCTCTCTCTCTCTCTCTCTCTCTCTCTCTCTGTGTGTGTGTGTGTGTGTGTGTGTGTGTGTGTGTGTGTGTGTTTCAAAGAACCCAACTCTCTCTCTCTCACACATTCCGAAAAATCTCGTGGCCACCCACAGACATTCCTTCATCAAAGAGATGGTCCATGCTCTGCATGTGTGTTTTGAATTTTCACCACAACAGCCCCTATTCCACCCAGATGAGTAGATCCAAAATCGGAGCAGACAACGAAAGTACCTGAGTTAAGACAAACCAACCATGAAACATTTTTACCTATGTCTGTGTGTGTGTGTTCGGTCTATCCGCTGAGAAGACAGATCGCAGGGCTCTACTGCATGACAGAGCAGACTGAGAAAGAGAGAGAGAGTGAGAGTCAGAGTAAGAGTGAGAGAGAGAGACAATGAGAGAGAGAGATGCATGAAGGGAGAGCGACACAGGTAATTAATGTGTGTGTGTCTGTGTGTGTGAGAGAGAGAGAGAGAGATTGATGTGAAGTGATTTCGTAAAAGAAAGGAAGGGGGAGAGGGAGGTCGGGGGTGATTGCAGAGGGGGGTCAGAGGGGGGTCACAAGTAATTCTATGATTCTGCATGCACTGCACCCACCCCACGCCTGCCTGGACCCCCTTGCCCCACTCCCCCACCTCTGCTCCTCACACCCCTCCATTCATGCGTGCAGGTACTGAGACAGAGAGAGAGAGAGAGAGCTACTACGAGTAGGGGTTATGGAGAGAGAGCTATGTGAGATTGGAGTTGGCTAGAGAGAGAGAGTGGAGGGCGAGGGGGCAGCCGAGCCAAGAATCACCCTGTGATTGTGCATTCTCTGCACACCTCACCTCCACCTGCTCACACCACCTCCGCCACGCCCCATTATCCCACCACCTACCCCACCTCTGCCCGCCACGTAGCCTGCAATTACTCTGACCGCAACCACCCCCTGAATCTCTTACACCACGTCCATTCATGCGTCCACAGAGAGAGAGAGAGAGACACGAGTAGGGATATATATATATAGACAGAGAGAGAGCTCTTTGAGATGGGAGTTCGTTAAAGAGAGACCAGGGGGCCGGAGCCATGAATGACCCTGTGATTGTGCATACCCTGCACACCCCACCTCCACCTGCTCACCCCCCCTGCGCCCCATATGCGCACAGCCACACCCATTACCCCACCACCTAACCCACTTCTGCCCGCAATGTAGTGTGCGCTTCCTCCGCCCGCAACCACCCCTGAATCTGTTACCTCACCTCCACAGCCTGAACCCAGGTAATGCATGCAAGACTGAGAGAAAAGAATCCGATGCGTGCATGCACACACACAGACCCATGCACACACACGCACAAACGCAGCCGTGCACGCACACACATGAGTGCACAATGTACACATACAGACGCATGCACACATACACACCCATCAACACCTACACATGCACACACAGATGCACACAGGCACACACTCGCACACACATTCAGAGAGAGAAAGACACAAGTTAGAGAGAGAGAGAGAGAGAGAGAGAGAGAGAGAGAGAGAGAGAGAGAGAGAGAGAGAGAGAGAGAGATGAGAGTAGTTTGTTAGACACCCCCGCTACCTCAACCAACGCTCCCCACCACCCCAACCAGCTCTCCCTGCCACCTCCACCCCTCCACGTCCTGCTTCACGGCAGATATGCATGCTTGCACATACCGACAGACCCAAACGCATGCATGTCCACCCTCACACACATGCACATATGTACTCACGCACATACACGACCACACAGATGCCTGCAGGCACGCACAACCACACACACACACACACACACACACACACACACACAAGGCATAAGGGGGGAGAGAGGGAGAGAATGACGGAGCAAAGAAAGGTGAAGGGAAAGTACAACAGTTCCGAATGATTCATACCATTGTGCGAAGAGCCTGAATGAGGGCAACCATTAGCGAACCCAGGCATATACTGCCAAAGGACTTTGTCATAGCCCTACCAAGTGCATTCCTCGTCGGATTTGGCGGCATGTTGTGCTCTTGGAAATAAAATGTCGCCATTGCCCCTGCCACTGTCACATGCACAACATTCCGCACCACTTCCAACGTCCAGTACAAACTCACAAGGAGCAAGAAAACCACCAAGGCTGCTCGTGTCTGGGTCCACGCTCCTACAGCACCGAAGGCCCATAAGGCATACCATGCTATCAAGAAGAATACTGAGCAGCACGAGACAACAATCGTGGCAGGAAACTTTTTTACCACAGACGTCACTTTCCCCAAGAGTGCAGCTGCAAATGGTATTCTGAAACACATACCAGAAACAGCACATATGTGTTAGAGCCCATAGCGGCAGCCAACAACTTTTATTGCACTCGTCTGATTCCAGCAGGGTTTGAACTCATGTTCTGTTCACTGACAGTTACATATTCGCACCATTCAGCCCCTAGAGCTGGAAACAGTACACACATTCTTTTCACAGTCAACTGTGTCAAGATTCAAAACTGCCGCCAACAGAGTAGTTTATAAGCCAATTGGAAAGAAGACTTCTGACCACCATGTCAGCAAAAACTATGAAAAGGGGGGGACTCGGGAGCCGGGGGGGGGGGAGAGGGGAAGATGGCTTGGCTTGCACAGTCACACATTCTTTGCAATGCCAAGAGTCAAAACCGCCGCCAACACAGTAGTTATAAACCAATTGGAAAAAATCAAATCAACCGCTGACCACAATGCCTGCCTGCAAACAAAAAAAAGAAAAGAGGGAAAATTCTTCGCACAATCAAGAGTCAAAACACCTGTCAACAAGAGGATCAACTTCTCACCTCCATGCCTGCCTGTGTAAAAGAAAACAACAGGCAATTTGAGGGAAGGGGGGCGAGAGGACATCTTCAACAGTCACATACACAAAATAGGACTACCAACTTGAACCAAGAGCGTGCAAAAGAAAAGAAAGGGGCGGCGGTTGGGAAGGAGGAGGGGCAAGCAGCCAATGAACTGGCGCACAATTTTCTCATCCATACAAGATAACGACACTGACAACACCTATACAAACACAAAAGGACAAAAACAACTCCGTACACCGTTAGTATAATGACCCACCCCACCCCTGCCACGCCAAACAAAAAAACAACAGTCTCAGGAAGCGCAAATGACTGAATCCATGCCGAAAAAACTTCTTCAAACGCAACCAGTCGAGGCATCATAGACTTCCATGCTCTCTCTCTCTCTCTCTCTCTCTCTCTCTCTCTCTCTCTCTCTCTCTCTCTCTCTCTC